AGCGCTGTCTGGAGACGTCTCCATGGTCATGTGGCCAGCATGACTAAATGTCGAAAACGCACGGAATGCTGTTACCTTCCCACCAAAGGGGGTTCCTATTTTTCTACTTGCATTTTTACATGCTTTTGAACTGCAAGGTTGGCAGAAGCAGGGACAAGTAACGGGAGCTCACTCTGTTACGTGGTGCTAGGAATTCGAACCGCTGAACTGCCAACTTTTCTGATCGGCAAGCTCAGCGTCTTAGCCACTGAGCCACCGTGTCCCTTATTAGTTTGGGTCTAAACTTAAACATGTTGTTTTAAACTTTTGAAAATTCCTGCAGGGCAGAATAGTATTTCTGAAGGTGGAGTTTTAATGTGGATTGCCATTGCAAAGAGTGCTGCAGTTAATTAATTTCACTTGGTACATCAAACCATCCAGAAGAGGTAATATTTAAAGCCCAAGACTTTTCACAAATGAAAGTGAGATATAATTTAATGCATGTCAGCCCTAATTTAACACTTTTGATCAGAACATCAAATGTTCCATTAGTGACACTTAATTTCCTCAGCCTGTTTGATGATAACAATTGCTAGAAGCCCAGCTGTTACTGACTGAAGCTCCTAACCAGTCTGCTTTAATTTTTCATCTTTAGGAATTCCTTCCATTGTCAAATTAAGTGAAGAAGTATGATTTCTTTGAACAAGAATACTAAAAATCATGTCCCACATTAAAAACTGATTTTCAACAATTGGCATTACTTAGAATACATACCATAGTCTTGACTTCAGGAACTCTAAAGTCACTACTGCTTAATTTTCAAATGTTTCTTTTAGTCAAAAAGACATTGTAGATAAACAGGCAAAATTCTCAAAAGAAGACCCTGAGCTGATATGCTGTAAAGTCAATCCCTTATTTAACTTGTTTGCCTAGTCTTCATCATAGGTTTCACTCTTTTTCTTAAATTGTGATTTCGTGTAGACTTTTAATTCAGCGTAAGGAGTTCATGCCAAGAGATGAGCCAAAAAGACTACACAGGATGATTAGTAGGATGATTAGAATAGAAAAACAGAGTTGGAAGGGACTTGGAGTTCTTCCAGTCCAACACCCTCCTTAGGCAGAAAACCCTGCATCACTTCAAACAAATGGTTATCCAACATCCTCTTAAAAATTTCCAGTGTTGGAGCATTCACAACGTCTGGTGGCAAGTTGTTCCACTGATTAATTGTTCTATTAATGGTACCTAAGTCACTATGGCTTAGGTAATAAAGTGATCTCTACATCTTTAACATTTTTATTTTAAATAAGTTATCCAATTTCTTCAATATTTCTATTGTTTTTGGGGGGAGGGGATTGGTTTACAGAAAGTTAAACTTTGAGAACCTAACACAATTAAAAGTCATAACGAATCATGCCTTAGGCCAGGCCCAGTGTCAGAAAAGAAAATGGTTCTATTAGCTATTGCACTGGTGGTGAGCCATACCTAAAACAACCACCCTCTTAAATGCAAATGGTCATTGGTTTTTTTTACCTTTTCTATAAAGCTCTAAAGTCTGAAAAGCTGTACAATAACCCAGTGTTTCTCAACCTTGGCAACTTGAAGATGTCCGGACTTCAACTCCCAAATGCTGGCTGGGGAATTCTGGGAGTTGAAGTCTGGACATCTTCAAGTTGCCAAGGTTGAGAAACACTGCAATAACCTAAAGAAAGGCATCATATAACAATCTTTTTTGAAGGGGTAACAAGTACCAAC